AGTGTGTGTGTGTGTGTGTGTGTGTGTGTGTGTGTGTGTGTGTGTTCGGGGGGGTGAAGAAGCGTGTTTGTATTTGCATATGAAATGTCACTTGGACTACAGGACAGAAGGCAAAGGTCAGTTCTGGCAGGATGAACACACACACACACACACACACACACACACACACACACACACACACACACACACACACACACACACACACACACACACTAACACCAAACTCTAGTCTTCTTATACACCACCACAAATATTTTTCAAGTGAAATGAAGTGTGTTTACGTTGCTCAGCGAGGTGAAATGACTGTTTTCCTACTGGAGATTGATGGCTTTGAGTTTGTTAATTGAATTATCCGTATCCCTCTTAATTAATTTATGATATATGTATTTTCACGCATGTCACGTAACATTGGTTTGAAGGGGCGAAAACAAATTATATCAGTATTTAGTGACTCTACTGGGTGTATGTAATGTCTCCATGCTTTTTTTTCTCATACTGCCTGTGCTGCAGCACCTCTTTTCACCCTCTGTCTGAAACCAGAGCCCAGTCTGCTCTGATTGGTTAGCTGGCCGGCTCTGTTGTGATTGGTCAACCGCTTAGAGATGTCCCGCGCCTTAGCCTATCACGTACAATGTGTTGGAGCGCTAGCCTAGGAGTACGAGTGTTTAATCTTGAAGTGACGCAGACCATTTTACATTCACAAAAAACTATAGGACACACGACAGGAAAGGGAAACCCCCAGAAGCCCCTTTAGGACCTCTTTAAATTAACCTTTCAAATGTCTTGCTCTTCAAAATCTAAATTGCCCTAAGCTGAAAGCAAACTGATGTTAATGTCCGAACCACAATAATAAATGCTTTTCATTAAACATTTAAGAGAAGCTGAGTGAGCGTAGCATTAAATAATCATGATCAGAACTGAAAGTCAAGTGAAGACACGTTAAAATAATCATACACTTTGATCGCTATGTAATGTATTTAGGAAAAGGCTTTGAGAGTCTCAATGTTTTTCATTAAGGTACCTTTTAAAGTGCTTAAATATCACTCTTAAAAAGCTCTTTGATGCACTCATACATAATGAATAACAGTGTTTATTCTCTACCTGCTGCATCCAGAGAGAGAGTCATGGACCTCCTGGTTGTAAATGTGTCAGAATAAGTTGACAGCGAGCCAGAAAGTGGACGTGTCCTGTCAGCGGATGAAATGTGAACGAGCTTTTAATTGCTGTTCATCCACAGCGACACCTCGGCCTCTAGCAGCCAATTAACACGCAGCTAATGGATCGTTTATGTTTGGCCACTCAGAGGTCAATGTGTGCTTCTCATAATGAAGAGGTTGAGGAGAGGAGGAGGAACTAGAGATAGAGTTTGAGATAAATAAATGAATGGATGGTCTCAGACGGAGATGTCGTACAGGTGGTCTCTTTACATTACATTATATATCACTTGTTAGATGCTTTTATCCAAAGCTACTTACATACTCAATACTGTGGACAATCCCCACAGGAGCACTTTGGGGTGAAGTGTCTCAGAGACACAACGACATGCTGACTGCAGTGGGGTTTGAACCTGATCCCAACACCAACGCACAACCCACTGCGCCACGCACCTCCTACTTTACTCTTTATTACAATCCAATTAATCCACGATCTTTAATACTGTCATATAGTTTGGGTTAAAACTACGTTCCCTCTGAGTCCTAAATATCATCTGCTCCTTTATTTCAGATGTTTCAGATTCCTATCATTTTTTTCTTTATGGGGTTCTCCCTCTCCTGTAGTGTGTTGTATAGGTTTTTAGTGCATGTGGCCTGAAACGCCTCCATTGGACTCCTATATTTACTTCCAGAACATGGTGACATCACTATGGCTCCTATTGGCTAGCGCTCCAACACATTGTATGTGATAGGCTAAGGGGCGGGACATCGCTTAGCTGGTGGACCAATCACAGAAATGCCTGAAA